CACAGCATCTTCACCAGGAGTAGTTTCCATCTCAAGAAACCACTTTCTTTATTCATGAAAAAGAAGCAACTCCTCATCCGTTCATTTTGCCATAACATGGCAGCAATTCAGTCACATCTTCAGGCTCCAATTCTAATTTCAATTCTCTTGCTGTTTCCAACACATCTATAGTTACTTCCTCTGCTGAAGCCCCTCAACATCATCCCTAAGGGTTGGAATCAACTTCTTCCAAACTCCTGTTAATGTCAATATTTTGACCTCCTCCCTTGAATCACAAATATTGACATTTAGAATACTGAATCCTCTTCAGAAGGTTTTCAATTTACTTTGCCCAGATCCATCAGAAGAATCACTCTCTATGGCAACTATAGCCTTATGAAATATATTTCTTAGGTAATAAGACTTGAAAGTCAAAATTACTTTTTGATCCATGGGCTATAGAATGGATGTTGTGTTGGCAAGCACAAAAACATTAATCTCCTTGGACACCTCCATCAGGGCTCTTGGGTCATCAAATGCATTGTCAATGAGCAGTAATATTTTGAAAGAAATCTTTTATTCTAAGCAGTAGGTCTCAACAGTGGGCTTAAAGTATTCAAGAAACCATGTTATAAACAGATGCACTGTCATCCAGGCTTTGTCGTTCCATTTGTAGTGAACAGGCAGAATAGATTTAGCATCATTCTTAAGTGCCCTAGGGTATTCGGAGTGATGAATGAGCATTGACTTCCCACTTGAAGTCATCAACTGCATTAGCTCCTAGCAGAAGAGTCAGCCTATCCTTTGAAGGCAGACTCCTCCTGTCTAGCTATGAAAGCAGCCTCCCCACTAAACTTCATCATTTCTAGCTTTTTATTTAAAAGGAGAGACCTGCACCTTTTCCTTCCACTTGAACTCTTAGAAGCCATGGTAGGGTTATCAACTGGCCTGATTTCAATATTGCTGTGTCTCAGAAAATAGGTAGACCCAAAATAGGGAGAGAGATGGGGGAATGGCCAGTTGGTGGAGCCACCGGAACACAGGCAACATCTATCAATTAAGTTCCCCATCTTATCTGGGCATGGTCTGGGGTTTCCCAGAACAATTACAACAGTAACGTCAAAGATTACTCATCACAGATCACCATAACACATATGATAATGGAAAAAGTTTGGCCAGCCACGGAGGCTCACACCTGTATTCCCAGCACTTTGGGAGGCTGAGGCAGGTGGATCACTTGAGGTCAGGAGTTTGAGACCAACCTGGCCAACATGATGAAACCCCATCTCTACTAAAATTACAAAAATTAGCCAGATGTCGTGTGCCTGTAATCCCAGCTACTTGGGAGGTTGAGGCACAAGAATCGCTTGAACCCAGGAGGCAGAGATTGCAGTGAGCCAAGATCGCGCCATTGCACTCCAGCCTGGGCAGACAGAGCGAGACTGTATCTCAAAAAAAAGAAAAAAATTTGTATTGTGAGAATTACCAAAATGTGACACAGAGACACATAAGCACATACTGTTGGAAAAATTAGCACCGACAGACTTGCTGGAAGCAGGATTGCCACAAAACTTTAATTTGTTTAAAAAAACACAGTATCTGGGAAGTACAATAAATTGAAACTCAATAAATCGAAGTGTGCCTGCATATATTTTAACAGCTCTCACCAGAATTCATCTTGCAGGAAAAAAATAACTGTCTTTACTTAGAAAACTACATTAAGAAGACCTTGGGTTAAAAGATGGGACCCCAATGCCTTGATTTGGCTGGTAAGACATCACAGGGAGAAAGGAGAGAAGGATTTGAAGTTCACAGGACAATCCTGGAAGGAAGGAATGAGGAGGAGAGAGATAGGAGCCAAGAGCAGGGGCTCCAGAATAATGATGAGAGGTTGTCACTGTGAGGTGAGGTCCCAAATGCCCGCGTGAGCAGAGTTTTCCGTTGTGAAGGAAGGACCAGGTTTCACATAACAGTGGAATGATAAAGGTAGTAGCAGCAGCATCCAAAGTCACAGAAGACCACAGTTCCGGGCAATATGCCAGATCTGGGGTGCGTCGTGCAGATGCAGAAGTAGGGTCTGGGAAAGGTAGCCACAGAGAAAGTGGGGCACTGTCAGTTCTCAGACCCAGGTCTGGCTGATTCGAAGACTTTCCACAGTACCCCAACCTCTCTGGGGCCAGAGCAAACTATCAGGAAAACAGGTTTAGGAAGAGAAGAGAAAGGGATGCAAAGAATCCAGGAGGAAGGGCCTGTTTGAACAAAAACAGATAGGATGCGTGTCACAGCCTGGCCCAGCACCGTCTCCCTCCATTCATTCCCCCGCAGAAAACCAGAGGCTCCTTCTTTGGGGAAAAAAAAAAAAAAAAAAAAAAAAAAACTCCAGAGAAAAGACTTACAGAAACTGAACTGAGGTGGTTGTACCACGCAAAAAGCCAGTTTGCCAACCTGCCCATCCACATAGCACCTTCTATCAGCTTTTTAGTGTCTCGTCATAAAATATAAACAAAAGGATGACCAGATACTTGAAGGAAGTTTCTGATGTTAAAGACAAAGTAAAACAAGCAAACAAACAAAACAGTAAAAAAGGAAATTGAAGAAAACAGAAACAATGCAGAATCCAAAACTATATATATATATTTTTTTTTTAATAACCTCAGAGTGGGAGAGATGTATATACATATAGCAGTTATAGCCTGGAAACAAGAACTAAATGTTATAAAACAGGAACAAACAGAGAAGAAAAAAAATGACTTTTTGGGATAAAAATATAACAAATTTAAAATTTAGTTCAAAAATTTGAAATTGAAAGAGAGATAAATGGCAGAACTGAGAAAGTCAAAAGCATAATAGGGACCAGACCTGGTGGTGCTAGGGTCTATGTCAGAGCTGCCCTGAGCCCCCTGCACTCCCAACTGTGTTGCCAAAAGGTCCTCCACCAGACAAATGACCTCTCAACCCTGGCTGCAGAGAGCTTTCAAAAATCCCAGTACCAAGTCATATCCCAGACCAACCAGAGCAGAATTTCTGGGGCTCAGAGCAGACATCAGTATTTTTTAAAGCCCTCCAGGTCATTCCAATGTACAGGCAAGGTTGAGAACTTGTGGTTGAATGGAAACAGCGTTATAATTAAAAGCACAAGCAAATGAAGTAAATAATAATTAGATGTAGGATTACACATGATTTAGTTGGCTACATCTTGGAGGAAGCTAGGATGGGTTTGGAAAGGATGTGTGCCACAGAGAACGCCATAAAGAACAGCGTGGCTTATACACAGCAGAGTTAACTGGAGCCCATGTGCTCCAGACAGCATCCACGTGCTGCTGGCCGCAAGGCTCCCCGCTGACTTTGCTTAGAGTTGGAATTAGATAATGAAGCATGTAACTGCATATTCACTTTAGCTGGCTTGGTTTACTGGGAAGGACACGTCAGAAATGAAACCCTGGCCAGGGAAATGTGGATGGCCGGCCTCGCAGCGATCCAGCCATCCAGCTGGAAGAGAGAGTCGGTAGTGATGACCCATCTTCAAATGCCCTGCATGTGCTGGGCAAAACATTCTCGGTCTCACTTCACAGCATCAGTGTCATGTTCTCTATTTCACTGAGGCTCAGAAAGGGACAATGACCTGCTAAAACTCCCACATGTAGTTAGTGGTGGGTGGGGATTTGAACCCAGGTTCATCTGAATCCACATTCAGAGCCCACGTTTATTGCACTAATGTCAAGGTCCCCTTCACCCGGTCTCCTGACACCACTGAGATAGAAAAGAAAAAAAGTGGCAAGTGAGCATCCATCCTGTCCCATCTCAAGGCCCCTCCTACACAGACCAGTCCTCCCCTGGTAGCTAACACACCTCCTGGCACAGGGGGATGCTTTGTAAGGGTTTGTTGAATTAAGTGAATGATCCTCAGGTGACTACCCCTTTCAGGTGCCTAAGCCTCACCAAAATTAGCCAAGGAATTCCAAAAAGACCAACGTAGATGTGGTGCCAGATGCCAGGAGCAAGGTGTGGCTGGGAGCAACCAAAGGCCCAGGCCCTCTTTGCAGGGGGCTAGAAAGGAGAGGATTCTGTGTTCAAATCAGAATGAACTATATCAGATGTCCTTAAGGGATGAGGGTCTCCGGCTTGCCTTGGTCAGCATCTTCCAGCCACCTGCTCTCCCCTTGGACACGGCTACAGCTCTCTTAACATCACTGAAGCTCCTTAGCAGGTACTCTCAGCATCTTATGAGGAGCACATGCCAACTGGGAACGCACATCTTCGTTTTTAGTTTAGAAACTTTGGTCTTGGCCCTTCTCCCTTTCCCACTGGGATTAATGGAACTTGCTATTTGCCTTGCCTGTTGGGGGACGACATTCTGGACACAGATGAGAGCCTTTGGGTCAAGCTGCTGGGAGCTCTCACACCCACCTGAGGAGGGCTCGTTGTACACCTCGCCAGATGCCAAGAGCACAGGAGCACACGCATGAGCCTCCTAAGGACAAGAGCCTTAGCATTCAGGATGGAAGCCCTGAAGGCGAGTACACTCTCCATCTCCTGCTTATGACGGGCTGTGGGTTGTTAAGGGGGTTGCTGAACTTGGAGGGCTGCATGAAAGGGCTACAATGGAAGGGGGCTGATGTAAATGCACCCCTAAAAGTACCCTGGGAGGGAGACACCCTGTTGCCGGTCTTACAGGGGCCACAGACAAGAGGCTGATAAAGTGGCCTAAAACCCTCCCCGTTATGCTGATCTCAGTTTCCATCTCAGTTCTGTCCATCCCACTCTGGGATCCCCAGGTGACCACATATACTAAAAGGGAGTACAGAGAGGTCTGGAAACACCTGGCACCACACTGGAATTTTGGAGAAAGGTCTTCACTGGGGAGGCCAAGCAAAAGCTCTCACTGTAGGCCTCTACCCACCCCAAACAGGTGCACAGTGACCCTGTCATCCAAAGGGTCATACTTGGTCACACCTCTCCCATGAGTCTGCCCAACAGTCACCCCCTGAACACAGCAGAGACAAAAGCCAACACCACCAGAATGGTGCCAGTTAGGCATCAGGGGCCTGAAAAAATGCACTTTATTGTTCTGCCAACAAAAGCCCTCTACTGCATTTCAGAATCCACTGTAACAGCACCCAGAAGGAAAAGCTGACCCAGGAGGCAGCCTGAGAACAGAGACACCATTGAAATGATGAGGAATTGAGACCTTTGGGATCAGCCAGCCTTTGTGACAGGCTCTGAGAAACTAAGGCACATATTTGCAGTGAGCCTTTTCAGGGCCAGACCCTGGGCCTGGGCTCTGCATGAAGAGAGGGGATTGGGCTACAAGGGTTAAGGTTGGGTAGAGGCCAAGTTCAAGCCCTAGAGACAATGGCTATGCCCTTCTGGGTCACCCACTCTCAGAACCGGCCCCCTGGGCAGGGCACACAAATGGGGCGGGGGCTGCAGGTTAGGCGGGCTGCACTAGGACCGCAGGAGGCCGCAGGAAGACAGGGAAGGCATGACTTGGAGGGTGAGTAGTCAGGTGCACATGGGTTACAGGGGAGCCTAGAAAAAAGAAAACAGTCAGATTACTATGATTTTCCAGTTGCTGTTTGCAGTAACTCAACGTAGATCCTAGACTATGCAAACCGGGAAGCACCTTAAAAATCACCTGATCCTGCCCCCTTGTTTTACCAAAAGGGAAACAGGCCCTGAGAGGAAAGGGGGCTTGCTGGAGTCACGTGATGAGTTTGCAGCAAGACCAGAAGTAAGAGACCAGGACTCCAGACTCCGGATGCCAGGCTCTTTCTAGGCACCACGCTGTCTTCCCAGAACTTGGTAGGTTGCAGTGAGAAGACTAGAGCACATGTAGTGATACTCACTTGCTGTCCTCACTCTCCAGCAGGCCCCGGTATGTGTTGATCTCACACTCTAGCCGGGCACGGACGTCCAGCAGCACCTGGTACTCCTGGTTCTGCCGCTCCAGGTCAGCCCGGATCTCGGTCAGCTGGGTCTCCACGTTGGTGATCATGCACTGCATCTGGGCCAGTTGGGAGCTGTAGCGGGCCTCCGTCTCTGCCAGGGTGGATTCCAAGGCATCTCTCTGTGAGGGCAAGGGTTGTGTAGGGAGGAAAAAGGCTAGAGGTCAGAGAAGGAGCAAGGAGGATTCAACTGGGTCTCAGTGAGGCCTCAGAATCCAAGAACAGAGGCTCGGAGAATCAGGGTTTGAGCTAGGATGAACCACAATCAGACATCTCACTTGAGATGAGCTAATTAGCACCTGTGGCTTCTTTGATCTAGAGAGTATCTCCCTGTTAGTGTCATCTCTGAGTAACTGATAATTACGCAGAAGATGTATCTGCTTACACAAATATGGGACCTACTGCCTGGACATGTCAGTTGCTACAGGTCTCTTGTCTTTTACCACTAGGGGATTCATGATTGGGGCTGGTCCCTCATTCCGTCTTTTCTGCATGGAGAACCCCTGGTGCTCAAGAACATGGACCCCTGGAGCCTGCCTGTGTGGTCAAAGCATGGAAGCTGGGGAGCTTGTGTTCTCCCCGGCTTGGTCCAGAGGCGGCTCCACCCTGCCTTGGGACTCACCATGCTGTGCTGGGCCTGCAGCTCAATCTCTAGGGTGTTGACTGTCCGTCTCAGCTCGATGATCTCTGCCTGGCAGGACTGCACCTGCTCTGAGCTGGAAACCACCTGCTGGTTCAGCTCCTCAGTCTGAAACATACATACACAGGACCTGGTCAGCAACACTGGGGACTTGGCTTCAGAGAGCTACAGAGGCCAGTTAGAATCATGAGCCAAGAAGGACCTTCCCAATCCCCTAGTCCCACTCATTTATTTTATACTGGAGGACATTGTTGCTCAGAGGACAGCAACCTGCACAAGTGGCACAACAAGGTCAAAACAGAGATGAGACTCAAAGTTAGGTTTCTTGATTCAGAGCCCCAGGGTCACCTCCGTGTGAGCCACCATGTACCCCTGTTGCACAGACTGTTTCTACCTACCTGGGTGTCAAACCAGTCTTCGGCATCCTGGCGGTTATTCTCCACGAGGGTTTCGTACTGGCACCTCATCTCATCCAGAACTCGGTTCAGGTCAACAGGGGGGGCAGCGTCCACCTCAACATTGAGCCGGTCACCAAGCTGGCAGCGCAGTGAGTTCACTTCCTATGGCACAGACCAGGGTCAGTACTAATTCCCAGAGGGCTGCCTCCCAAGCTCACCTCCTCCTCATGTTCACCTCCTCCCCATGTTCACCTCTCCCCCATGCTCACCTCCTCCCCTATGTTTACCTCCTCCCCATGCTCTCCTGTTCCCCATGTTCATCTCTCCCCCATGCTCACCTCTCCCCCATGCTCACCTCCTCCCCATGCTCACCTCCTCCCCATGCTCACCTGCTTCCCCATGCTCACCCATTCCCCATTCTCACCTGCTCCCCATGTTCACCTCCTCTCCATGTTCACCTCTCCTCCATGCTTACCTCCTCAACATGCCCACCTGCTCCCCATGCTCACCTCCTCCTCCCCATGCACACCTGCTCTCTCACATTCACCTCCCCCCCATGCTCACCTCCTCCTCCCCATGCACACCTCCTCCCCATGCTCACCTCCTCCCCATGTTCACCTCCTCCCCATGTTCACCTCCTCCCCCAGGCTCACCTACTCCACCATGCTTATCTCCTCCCACAAGCTCACCTCCTCATGGTTCTTTTTCAGGCAGAGCAGCTCCTCCTTCAGGGACTCCACCTGGGCCTCCAGGTCAGACTTGCACAGGGTCAGGTCATCCAGGATCCTGCGCAGGCCGTTGATGTCTGACTCCACCAGCTGCCGCAGGGACACCTCCGTCTCATACCTGCAGGCATAGAACAGGGCACCTGCATCTGCATTTCCTTTTTGCATCTAAATAAGGCCTGCCCTCAGACCGGCCAGGTGCTGTGAGTCTTGCTTTTATGCCTCGGGGACAAAGTACAGCCAAAACCCTGAGCCCAGGCATCACCTGTGTCCAGTTCTAGCGGCCCCCAACCACAGGACAAGCAGGACAACTCACTTGGTCCTGAAGTCATCTGCGGCCAATTTGGCATTGTCAATCTCCACCACCAGCCTGGCATTCTCAGCCTTGCTGCACAGGGTCTGGGGATATAAAGAAGTTATTTCATTGCAAGAAAGGACATTTCATTTGTTGGAGCTCCCTAAGGCTGACAAGGGCTGCCTCTGGAGAGAGGAAGTCACCCATCCTCGACCTCTGCTAGTCCATGGGTATTGGAGGGTTGTGGGCAGCCTCTAGGGATCAACTATGGAAAGTCCAGGGTTTCTTCCAATGCAGTGTGTCTGTGACCTGTGACCCAGGTTAGATAGCTGCATGAAAATGCAACAGGAAAGGCCTGGCATGATGAAACGAAGCTTCTTCCTATCTCCCTGTCTCCCAGGCCTACTCGGGGCCCAGGGAAGTTCATTGCCAACAATGTATTCCAGGATTCTGTGGTCATAAATGGTCCCTCACAGGAGCCAGCTGTAACTTTGGGCCAGGCAAGAAGCAGATATGGGCCCTTGGCAAGAAGGAAACTTCTCTGGCAGGCATTTTCATCCCTGAGTTACTTATGGGAAGCCTGAACTGCACTAAATACATCAAACTCAATCTCCTGACTTTAAATAAAAGAGGAAATGAAGACTCAGAGGGGTGGGCAATAGTACCAAAAGTCACAAAGTTCATTCATAGACCCGATGTTCAAGCTCTGGCTCCAGTAACTGCCATCTGGGTCACTTACCCAGCCTGAACCTCAGTGTTCTCATCTGTATAATGGGCTAATGATACCTCCCTCAAAAGGTTATTGGGAGGAGCAAATGAGGCCACAGAGGTGAACATGCTTGGTGACTTCCAACATGCCCTGTGGGAACAGAACTATCAATGAATACTGGTGACACTAAGTTCCTGGGAATCCAAAGCCACTCTGAACCTCTTACCTTCTTCTGGAGTTCCTCAATGGTCCGGAAGTAGGACTGGTAGTCGGGGCACATGTAGGGGACCTGCTGCTCACACCACTCACGGATGCGGCTCTCCAGGCTGGCATTGTCCTGCTCCAGCTGACGCACCTTCTCCAGGTAGCTGGCCAAGCGGTCGTTCAGGGATTGCATGGTCTCCTTCTCATTGCCAGTGAGGATACCCTCCCCAAACCAGCCCCCACTCACGCTGTAGCTGGTAGTGAAGCCTCCGGCGGGGAGGCAGAGAGTAGGGAGGCAACTGGTAGCCCTGTAGCTGCTTCTGCCCAGACCCGCTGAGCAGGCAGAGAAACTTCTGGCCCCATGGGAGAGACTCGGGAGCTTGCAAGAGCTGCTGGAGTACATTGCAGACACACGAGTGGAGCTCCCACTGGCCCCTCCTGGGCTCTTGAGAGACCCAGAAGAGAAGCCTGCCTTGAGGCATTTGGAAGCCATGGCCCCTGCAACTCAGATGCAATTGATAGGTCTCTGAGACCAGACACCCCAAAGCAGAGAAGCAGCTCCTTACCCCAGATTTATATCTCTGCCCCAGTGGGCGTTGGTTGGCCTTTACAAAGTGTTTTCTCCTCATTAAAGTTAACACTACTTTCTTTTAAAACCCCTCATTAACCTGTTATTTAGTTTCCTGTGAAAATTTACCAGCCTCATAAAATGGGAGCCCCGTTGCTATGTCAAGACTCAACTCCACCACCCCACATCACTGGCAAGACCAAGTCTCCATCAGTTCTTCAAAGGGACCTGTCATCTGAGCCCAGACCTCAGCCTCCGCATTAAGCAGGCATGGGAGTTCAGCCACCGTCTTGACTTTCTCTGGCTTTGACTTCTTTTATGGGCCCGAGGGAGGAGAGGAGGTCTCCGGGGTGCTCCCAGGAGATGGAAGAGTAAACTTGGTTGTTGCAGGAAGGCAGGGGTCTTGCGGCCGGGGAGACACAGAAGGCTCTTGAATTGGCCCAGAAAATATGACTAGGGTGACCAATTTTCTTGGTTTCCTCAGGCATTTTCTGGCTTTAGTTCTGAAAGTTCCATATGCCAGGGAACCCTCAGTCCTGGGCAAAATGGGGTAGGTCGTCACCTTAGATACTGCAGAGCCCTGATGGACACTTCCCTACTCTTTCCCTTGCCAGGAAGTCTGCCCAGGTTATACAGCCTAACTTCCAGCCACAATGCCTAGAGGTCAGTTAATTGGACACCTGCCCATGATGACATCTAGGAGGGCGTGTCTTCCCCAGTCCTGGTTGAGAAATGGAGAAGCCCTTCCTTCTGGCTGCCTGAATTGGAGCTCTTTTCACACAGCCCTATCAATAACCCGGCTGATGGTAGCAACCATCATTCACTGAGCATTTAGTACCCACCAGCCCCCACGCTAATCTGTCTCTATGCATTCTCTTATTCAGTTCTCACACAACCTCATGAGATTGGCATCACCAATAGCCCATTAAACAGAGGAGGCTTGGACTGTTACAGGAGCCTGTCCCAGCTCACAGCTGAACAAGCATCTGTACAACTGTTCAAGGCATGCTATCTTCTTTAAGACCCCACACACACTGTGCAACACAGTCGTGGATAGAAAGGTGCTGACTCCTGCAGAAGGAGCCAATGGTCAAAGTGGAAAATGGCTTAACCAAGGTCCACACAGGCTTTCCAGTGAGGCTAAAGCCCAGGGCTTCCAGCTCCAAACCACAGGCCCACCCCACTGCCTCTAAGGGCCCAGTCCTGGTCAGGCCTTCCCTCTGGAGCCTGGGCCCTGCTCCAGCCCTGCTGTGCCCTCCCAGCTCTGAATGCCCAAGGCCGTGACTGTCAGTGGATTTCCTGGCCTCCAATTAACTGACATCTGATTGTCTTGTGTTTCAGCCCTATTTTCCCAGGGAGACTGTAAGCATGGGGGCAAGGATTGACCTTGTACATTTTTTTGAAATCTCTGTAGTGTTAAGCACAGTGCTGGGCTTCTAGATGTCTATGAATGAATTAATGAATTAAGTGATTTTCCCATGGTGAATTGTGTTAAGAAAGGAAAGAAAGAATGGAAGGAAACAAAAGAGAGTAGGGAGTGGGGAAAGGAAAACACAGTCAGTCTTACCATTCCTACTTTTTTTTTTTTTCTTGAGATGGAGTCTCACTCTGTTGCCCAGGCTGGAGTGCAGTGGCACGATCTCGGCTCACTGCAAGCTCCACCTCCTGGGTTGACGCCATTCTCCTGCCTCAGCCTCCCGAGTAGCTGGGACTATAGGCGCCTGCCACCACGCCCAGATAATTTTTTTTTTTTTTTTTTTTGTATTTTTAGTAGAGACGGGGTTTCACCATGTTAGCCAGGGTGGTCTCAGTCTCCTGACCTTGTGAACTGTCTGCCTCAGCCTCCCAAAGTGCTGGGATTACAGGCGTGAGCCACCGCACCCACCCTACTATTCCTACTTTTATAAATGAGGAAACTGAGACTCAGAGATGGAGGGGATCAGGCATCTCTGTGTAGGTGAGCAGCACCTGTCCAGACTAATCAGCCCCTTTGGCCAAGAACAAAGTGTTTTCTGGGCCAAGAGCCATTCCGCCCAAGGGAGACGGATCCCATAAGCCAATTTAGTGCTAAAGGTGTGGCTAAAAAATTCTTGATAAGATTTTTAGATAACTTTATAAAACATATATGTAATATTTTTCAAGCTGTTTTAAGGTATTTTGTAAATTGGTCTGGTCTATTTCTGTTCCTTTTTAGCATTCTTTTCTTAAATGAAATAATTATCTAGAACCCCTTATCAGCAAGAACTAACATTGTTTAGCACATTCCTAGTGACTTTCCTGACAGAATCTTTGCACTCTGCTCAGATGCGGTCCAGGTTGTCCCAGATCATTCCATGGATACACTAAATATAGCCCTAAAATACTTTTTGCCCTCCTTCCTCCTTTTTCTGCCCATCAAATCCAAATCTGCCCTAAAACCTTTCCTGATCATCTCAGCCCTCAATGATTTCTCATCTTCCCCAAAACCTGAAACCCTGCCCACACCTGCTCCTGCTATCCCAGTGCAGTTGCTGGGAATGTGGAGGCGAGGTGTCTCCACAGCTGGGCGTGAGCTCCTTGGGAACTGTGCCTGTTATCCAGTCTTTGTTCCAGCCACTTCTGCCACCCCTGCTGCTTCCTAGATAGGCTTGAGCCTTAAGATTGGATTGGCTGTGTATGACATGTTCCATTGTTATCTCTTCATTCATTAATTGATGTATATGTGTAAATGAGAAAGACAGATAGCATATCTGGAAAGTACAAAAAAGATCAGAAAAACCAGACCACCTTGAAATAAAACATCATATTCACTCTGGGGAAATTTTATTGAATGTTCTATTATTTCTCTCTCTCTTTTTTTTTTTTTTTTTTTTTTTTTTGAGACAGAGTCTCGCTCTGTCGCCCAGGCTGGAGTGCAGTGGCGCGATCTTGGCTCACTGTAAGCTCCGCCTCCCGGGTTCACACCATTCTCCTGCCTCAGCCTCCTGAGTAGCTGGGACTATAGGCGCCCGCCACCGCACCCAGTTTATTTTTTGTATTTTTAGTAGAGACAGGGTTTCACCAGGGTCTCGATCTCCTGACCTTGTGATCCGCCCGCCTCGGCCTCCCAAAGTGCTGGGATTACAGGCGTGAGCCACCGTGCCCGGCCTTATTTCTCTCTTGATATCAATGAAATAGGAGCCCAAAGACCTGAGAAGGCTCCTAAGTCAGCCACATGCTGTGTGACTTTAGACCAGTCGCCATCTACCGCCACAACACTGTTGAATTCTGGTTTGCACATCGGTCAGTGATTTCAATTGCAACTCAGTTAAGGGTGTGTGTGAGGTTGAGATAGGAGGTGTTTTCTAACTGATACAGATGCTCTGGACAATGTAATTAAAAGCCAGGCAAGGATGCATAAATAAAGCGCTCACAGCCACACAGGGCTGATCATATGCATCAGATGAGGCTATGAGTGTGCCCTGTAAACTGCAGAGTGATCATAAAAAGGGAAAGCACTGTACAATGCAAGATGCTGATGACGTGATTACTTGTCAGGTCACGCCCTGTGTGGTCCATTCACAGTGACAAGGCAGCTCAGCGGTTTCCCGGAGACTTGGTCCATTCCTGGACTCCTGCCTGTTTCTGCACAGAGGACCCCTGTCTGTTTCCGCACAGACTCCAGCCTCAGGCCAGAGGCAGAGGTGCAGACCTTAGGCCCCAGAGTATGAGTGGAGCAGTGAGGGGCAAGGGGCAGGGCAGATGAGAGAACCATGCTGACTGCCTCCCCTGCCCAAAGCCAGGTGCATCCTCTGAGGCTGAGGCCTTTGGGTTCACCGTCCAACTCCAAGGACACTGCTGGCAGCACAGCCCCCACTGTAGCATCCTGACAGATACAAAGCAAAGAGCTTGGCCCTTGCAGTGGGGGTTCCTGTTTGACACTCTGAGGCGAGGGACTCTGCATTTGTAGTAAGAGCAACACTGACAGCTACCACTTTTTGGAAGCTACACACACACTGTCTCATTGGAGCTTCCCGGCAGCCCCATTTCACAGATGAACCTGCTGAGACCAGATAGGTCTCATGACATAACCGGGCATGTACCACAGAACAGCAGAGTCGGGCTCAGTGCAGGATGCTCTGATGCTACCTGTGCATGTCTTCTCCCAGGGTCTGATATGTGTTTGCTGCACCTCTGGCTTGCTCAGCAAGTGACTGAAGAGTCCCATTTAGCAGCAAATAGCAGATGACATGAGGCACAGTCAGGTCGTGGAGGTCTTGACCATGACCCAGAGGAGAGCCCAGAGAAGAGTGAGTGCAATAGAGGGGGAGGGGGGAAGAGAGAGAGAGAGACAGAGAGAGAGACAGAGAGAGAGGCAGAGAGAGAGAAACTGCTGAGAAGAGCTTCAGAGTCAGGGTCAGAATAGCCGGGTGATAGGCAGGTCTCTGCCACTCACTGCTCTGTGGCCTGGGACAAGTCACTGCCCTCTGTGGGCCTGTTTTCTCAAGTGAAGACTGGAGCAGGGAGCAAAGGAACCAACCGTCAGGCCCTCAGACCTCTCCCAGGCCATGCTTCTCTGATCAGAGGGATGTCCAGGTCTGGCAAAGTCAGGCCCCACCCACAGACCTGCCTGACTCGGGTCTGCCAGTGGAATCCAGGGCTTTGACCTCTGCTCCACAGTGAAGTCTGGCTGTCCTCTCCCCCCACTCCATGTCTGAGCCCCCACCCCCCCACCCCCACTATCCCTGACACCCTTCAGTTCAGCCCTGTGTGCCTTGTTGGTACATGGATTCACCTGCCCTCCACCTTCACCTCCCTGCTCTCCCTGACTGCCTGCCCCAGCGTGGCTGGCTCAGGCTGACTGCCTAGAGTTTGGCCCTCTTTGCTTGGTCCTGGGACCTCCTCTCCTGAACCATCCCCAGTATCAGGGAGCAGGATGACAGGAGCTGGATAAGAGAGGGGAAGCTGAAAGTAAAAGAGAGATAGCCACCGAATCCAGGTCGGGCTACA